CAGTTGAAATGCTAAATTGGGGTTGTGCATATTTTGCTATAATTAAACGTTTGAGAATAAACTTTAAAGATTAAATGGGAATGAGAAAGAAATAAACTTGATTCTCCAGGGTGTTGGGGAGAGAGCCGGCCTGGGGACTGGGGGCAGAAAGAGAGGGAGGGGGGGATATTTGCATTTAGAGGTCTGGATGGGAATGATGAGGGCTTAGATCAGGCCGGTGGGGAAGAAGACAGGAAGACCAGGGCAGAGAGCTGGAACGTTTGCTGAGCCTGTGGGTAACAGCTAGATGGATTCTGGAAGGCCAGGATGTTCACTCCGGGGAAGTCTCTCAAGCCTCCTTAACAGAGGAAGAATGAAGAGCTGTGAAAATTGTCAGACACTCCTCAGGTAAGCACGAACGTATTTCTGAAAATGCTGACCCTGAGAAAAAGCAAGAGCCTGTAAAGACTGATTGGAGATCGATTGATCAGTGTCAATGCTTTTCCAAATTCTGGCCCCGTACCCCCAGGGGCACATGAAACACATTTAGCTGGCACACAGGTTCACTTCAAAAGGCATAGCCATTTTAATTCTCATCCGGTCCTTTATAGGATTTCCAAGGACAAAACCTCTCAGTGACACGGTGCAAATATCGCCTCTGAAATATGTGAACTTCAGGCCTTTATTTGACAAAGAAACTATAGGCCTTGGGTTCAGCACCTTCAGCTTGCAACAGCGGCTAGTTCAGGAGTTGATGAGTCTGGCCCACCGCCGGGTTTTATAAATAAAGTTTTATCGGAACACAGCCACACCATTCATTCATATATTGTCCATGGCTCTTCTGCTACTATGGCAGAACTGAGTGGCTCTAACAGAGACCTTACGGCCCACAAAGTCTAAAATGTTTAATAATCTGGCCCATTACAGAAAAAGTTTGAGGACCTCTGGTCTAGTTTAATTACAGTGTTTTGTTTTCAGTGTGTATATTCTAAAATACTTGCTGTCTATTCCAAGTAAGTTTTCCACTGATGGTGACAATAATTCATTGAAGGTAAAAAAATCATTAACAAGATTCTAAGAAAATCATTAACAAGATACAGTAAAATTAACAAATCCATGTAATGACACATTAACACATTAATATGATTTTCTATAACAAATGACAGAAGCAGACCGCAGCTGTGGCCAAATCCTGGGCGTAGCACGTGGATGCCAAGGGCTTGAGAAATGCCGGGTTAGGCCAGTGGGCAGTGTGGACAGATGTGCGAATGGGGCAGATAAAGAGACTGGGGACTGGAAGAGCATTTCATGAGAATAAGGGGTCCCCATCAAGGTCGCATCTGTGGCCGTAAGGATGGAGAGAGGGCTCAGGGTGTCCTAACTGGACCCACTGGGTATCAGGAGAGTCAGGAGAACAGGGGAAGCCAAGCTCGATCAAGGGGAGAAATGCTGGAGCAGGACAGTCAGGGTGGGTCCCTTCCAACCTGGGGTTTTCCCTACAGAAGCGTCATCGTGGCGGAAGGAAGGCAAAGATGTCCTGACAACCACAATGGTAACACTTGTCAACGTCACCATGTGCAGGTTCTAAGCACACTTTACAACTGTGAACTCACGTAATCTTTCCAGTAACCCTGTGGGACAAGGGATCATTTTACAATGAGGAGATTGAGGCACAGAGAGGGCACGTGACTTGCCCGAGGTCACACAGCTCGTGAGTGGCACAGGCTGGCGTGGCTATGCCCGCCCAACATCTGAGCCCTGACACTCAGGTGGTGACTGCGCCTCGGTCATTCAGATTGTCATGCCCCGGCAACTGACTCTGTGTCAGCTGAGCCTGCCAGGCTGGCCTGTCCCTGGTCCCTCAGTTCTCAGCCTGCCCTTGAGCATCCAGGTCATGCGAGCACTGTCATCCTGGTGACATCACAGGGAGAGGACAGATCGTGATGACTTTCCACGGGAGCGACAAGGTGTCAGTTGCCAAGAGGAGGCAGATCTGTCCTCGGAGAGGACAAACCTCTCTGAGCCACAGAGGCAGCGACAGACCCCGCAGCCCGAGAAGTCTCAGAAGAGAGGGGACCGAGGGGGCATCAGGGACCAAACCTGGAAGCCGCAGGCCAGGAGCGGGGCCCATGGATGTGCCCCACACACTGTGTTCGTGCTTTGGAAGGCACACAGATGTCCATTTGTCTCCTTGCGTTGTCTCCTAACTCTTTACACTGTGTGTATCAGTCTCAGAGGCGCCTGGGGGGCTCTGTCGGTTAAGCGTCCGATTTTGGCTCGGGTCATGATCTCACGGTTCGTGGGATCGAGCCCCGCGTCAGACTTCACGCTGACAGTGCGGAGCCTGCTGGGGATTCTCTCTCCATGTCTCTCTGCCTCTCTCTCAAAATAAACTTATAAAAGAAAAAAAAGATGGGGTCAAATGACAGTAGAGTAGACCCCTCATCCAACACAACTGGTATCCTTATAAAAAGGGGAAATTTGGACACAGAGACAGGCACACAAAGACAATGACGCTCGCATAGGACGGTGATGCACCTGTAAGCCAAGGAAAGGCCAACGCTGCCAGGAAACCCCCAGAAGCAAGGAGAGGGGCAGGGAACAGATTCTCCCTCACAGCCCTTAGAGGGAACCCACCCTGCTGATGCCCAGAGCTCAGACTTCCCTCCTCTAGAAGTTTCTGTGGTTGAAGCCCCCACGTTGGCGTTCTGGGCCACCCAGGGACCTCACACAGCTATTTCCTACAGTGGCCACTACACCTGATGAGGGAACAGGGCCGGGAAGCTCTGTTAAAAGCGAGCACCGCAGACAGGGCTATGTCAATCAAGTCAAGTGAACGTTCCTGCTGGTGACCCGCCCCTGCTCTGGGCTGTGCCTGGCACTCTCAGTGTCCCCAGGGCCAGCCACGCCCTCCTTCCCCCTCCTATTCCCACCTCCTCTTTGAGCGGCCCCACTCAGAGGGCTCCCTTGTCACCTGGCTTTCCACCAGCCGTCCCAGTCTGTCCCAGCTGTGTAAACATCTAGAGGGCCTGGCACATGGGCGGAGCAGAGACGCGGAGGTGGGCGGTGCCCAGGGCTCTCACGACCTGGGTGGTCCCCCAGGCCCCCCCCCCCCCCCCCGGTTTAGCCCCGCGGAAGAACAGCCACGTGTTGGCCGCAGGACAGGGTGCACAGCGCGGCCCCTTTCCCTAAGACGGAAGAGGGGTATTTACGGTTCTGGAGGATAAATGCTAAGTGACGTGTGCTGGTTAGCTCTGGACACGAAATTGCGAGTGGTTTTGATTCGATTTTGTTCCTTTTGCTGGGGAATGTGTCAGAGTCTGTTCAGCTGGAAGTGTGTGTGTGTGTGTGTGTGTGTGTGTGTGTGTGTGTGCGCGAAACCAGTAGAAATAAACATGGTGAGAAGACCTGGGGTGCTGAGCTGGGGCTGAGTGGCAGAGTGGTCACCCGCTTCTCTCGGACCTGTCACCCCAAGTCAGACAGGATTACGGTGACCAAGCACCTGATGGCCCAGGACTCAAGAGACTCTCGGGCACATAAAAGTCTTCATGGTAAAATCGTTCGCAGGCTCACAGGACTCCTCTGCAAAGGCACCCGGGAGTCTGCGGACAGCCAGACCTGCACACATGCACCCGGGGTTCCACGGCACAGACTCTTGGCCTGCCCCCCACAGGGCATTGCCATCCGCCCACCGTTCTTCCCGAGACACTCTCCCGGTCAGAGCTGGAGGCAGCAGATGGGAGGGCTGTCAGCCTCTCCAGCACTGGAGGTGCTCCTATGTGGATACCTAACTGCCTCTGAGCATACATCCAGAAAAGGAGGGGCACCTGGGTGGCTCAGTCGGTTGAGCGGCCAGCTTCGGCTCAGGTCATGATCTCACGGTCCATGAGTTCGAGCCCCACGTCGGGCTCTGTGCTGACAGCTCAGAGCCTGGAGCCTGTTTCAGACTCTGTGTCTCCCTCTCTCTGACCCTCCCCCATTCATGCTCTGTCTCTCTCTGTCTCAAAAATAAATAAACGTTAAAAAAAATTAAAAAAAAAAAAAAAAGAAAGAAAAGGAGACAGACGGGGGGGGGGAGTAGCCTCAGCTACTTCTCACTTGGAGATGCTCCAGATCAGCTACTTGGCCTGAGTCAAGTCTCCTGGAGCTTTGGATCCTAAAATCTGTAACACGTTAATTCTCCTCCCCCCGCCCATCCTTTTTTCTGGAAGTTTCTCACTCCTCCTGGCCTATTTCACACTAGGGAACAAAGAGCTGTCTATTCATTCTCATCGACCAGAGAAGGCAGGAGAAAGAGTGGAAATTATTTCTTCCACTATGCCTGGGGGAAACCGAGTCTCAGAGACGTCTGGTGTGTAGGCCAAGGTCCCACAGTGAACCAGGGACAGAGGGGAGGCCGCACACCCTGTGAGCAGCTACAGTGACACGGCTACATCACCCCTCGGGGATGTGAGCGAGCAGTGTCCGCGGGACATAAGGCAAACCTCGAGTCAGTCAGTCTGGAAAAGGCGCAGAGAACCAGACAGATATTTCTCGACTTCTGTCGCCTTTTGGTTCACGCCCGATGGACCACAGCCAGAGGCCAGAGGTCCCCCTGCCCTGCCCACTCTGCCCTGTCCGTCTGTCCTCCCAGGTCCCCAGGTCTTCAGAATGGAGACCATCCACGAGGCACATCCACCTTCTCTGGGTCCCTATTTGGTCCCTAGGACTGACGGATTCTTACCGCACCATTTCAAACTCTATGTATGTCAACAGAGTCTCTTCTGCATCTTTTACTTAAAACCTCCCTCTGCACCAGGAAGAGGAGGGCGGACGGGTGAGGGGAACGAAACCCCACCACCACCACAGGGCTCAGAAACCTGCCGGGACTTGCCAAGAACTCGAGAGGCATGGGACGAGGCACGGGACAGCCCCCCTCTCGGACACCGAAAATCCCTCCCGGGGCACCTGACCCCTCCCCGGCCACGTAACCCAGCGCTGACCAGTCCCATTAGCACTGATGTCAGTGTGTTTTGGCCCGGACCACTCCTGAGTCACGAAGCAGTTAAGGAATAGCCTGCCCCACTGGCTGCCGTGCTCATAAAGCTGGATCCGCGTGTACTTCCTTGTGGCTCCAGACAGCCTGACGTCTCCCTCGTTCGCTCACACCCAGCGGCCAGCCGGCGCGGGCGGCAGGAGGCAGAACCGCCACCCTCCCATGCAAATCAGCCCCAGGGGTGCAGCCGGGTTTCTCCCGCTGCTGCAGGGCAATGCTCCTGGGGAGGCGCTGGGGAAGATGCAGCCTGGGGCGCTGTGTACTCTTCCTTGTGCTGGCCCTGCTGCTCGACGCCGTGGGCCTGGTCCTTCTGCTGCTGGGCGTCTTCGCCTCCCTCGATTACTGGGACTTCTTGGTCTACACGGGGGCCCTGACCCTGGTGTTCAGCCTGCTCTTCTGGATCACCTGGTATTCCCTCAACATCGAGGTACCTCTTGAGAAGCTGGACTTGTAGTTTGGCCGTGGGCACAGGAGGAGGGACGCAGGCTCCACAGGCAGCTGGCCGTGAACCTGGGGCTGCTGCGTGGCTGGAGGGGTAGGGGCGTGTTTCCACTCCCACCCAGAACGCCCCACGGGGGAGCAGGTGAGTGCACATGGGGCCCGCCTGGCAGGGTGGCTGGAGAGGCTGAGAAGGAACTGGAAGCCTGCACCCCGGCTGGGGGCTCTGCCCACCTGGGTGGGCACCTGTGGTGGCCACAGGCTGTCCTCTCCCCCTCCGGGGCCCGTCATCCTTATGGAGACTACAAAGAGGGTCTCCACGGCCCCCTCCATTTCTGAGACGCCAAGAGTGGTCCCGCCATGCAGAACAGGAAGTTATTCCGTCAGCTCAGAACTTTGGAGAGGAGAGCCCATCTTGATTGTCTGTTGGAAGACCAGCCGGCTGCAGGGGGGGAGGGGGTCTAGCACTGGCAGAGAATGGAAAGCTCTCCAGTGGCCGTGTGTGTCCTAGCACTGATGGAGTGGTGGCGGGGAACCACCCAGAATGGCCCTTCTCCCTCCCTTCCTGCCTGTACCTGCAGGTGAGACACACACCACAGTGGGGAGGACCTGCCTCCACATCCTCCCTCGGGACACCTGCCTCCTCTCTCAGCAGCGCCCCCCCCACACACACACACTCCCATGAGGCCACCCCCATCCTTCACTCCCACCCCCACCCGGCCACGGCTGGCCTGGGAGCCTCAGTGGTCAGGAGACCATGGCGGACCATTTCGTCCACCGAGCTGCACTTTCCAGCTGGGCCAGCTGCTTGGTTGACCGCATGTGACCAAGGAGGCAGATCATCGTTAAAGATGTTTCACAGGGACGTGAAGCACCAAGAATAGAGCCGGTCTGGCCCCCGTGACCCTGAATTACGGGCAGCTCTCCCCCAGGGGACTGGAAGGGGAGCCCTGGTTGGGATAACAATCATCATCCCCCTGCCCCCGGTGGCCAGGAAACTGGCACAGCCGGGCACTCCCTTCCAGCGCTGGGTGTAAGGATAAAGGTCATTGCTGGGTTGGAAGGAGGAAATGATAATCCTGCCTCTTCTGGGGGATTCCACCTGACCTTTGGAACCAAGAGACCAGAGCAGCCGTTTGAAGAGGTTTCGGGGAGGGTAGCCTAAACCTGGTCCTGGCAGATGAAAGGAAGGAAAAGTGATGGGAAGTCCGAGTGCCTGGGTCCTGCTCTGAGTGCCACCGCTCAGTCACTGGGTGACAGTGGACAGGCTGCATTGGGTGGTAGCCTCATCTGTAAAATGAGGACAACATGACCTGCCCTTGTGGTTGCAATGGCCAAAAAGAGGTAAGGCAGAAGAAGGCTTTTGGCACGCAATGTGGTTTTTACAAATGTCCTATGCCCTTACTAAACGCATAGGAGAGGGTAAGCAAACTGATCCAGGCTCCCAACTGAGAGTTGGGGGTACTGAGAGGACTTGGGGTACCTCAAACTGGCAGTGAAGGGGTTAGTTTACACATTGCATCATGGAACTTCGAAGCAAGAAGGAACCCCTAATGTGTTTGCTCATTCCCAAAGACACGCCGGGCCCCGTGCAAGGCACTGGGGATGCCCTGAAGGATAAGATACACAAGGTCTCTACCCTCGAGGAGTTTCCCATCAAGGGAGACGTAGATCGTAACCAAATAGTCCCACTAATGGAGGTACGATAACAGAGTCAGGTGAAGACTGGGAAGAGAAGGAATATCACTTCACGGGAATGGTCAACAGAGACGCTGACCCAGAAAGTGGAGTCTCTCAGGAAGAGGTAATGGCCTGAGCAAAGGTCCTGGGATACCAGGAAATAAAAAGACAGCAGGGAGACTGAAGGGCAGAGGGGGCAGGTGCAGGAGGAGGTTAGGGTCCTGCCTGCAGTAGGCAGAGGCCGGGCCAGGCAAAGCCTTGAAGGCCATCCTAAGGACTTTGATCATTATCTTAGGAAGAATAAGAAGTTATTAAGGAGACGTGAGCAGGAGTGGGAGCTTGACATAATTGGATCTATGTTTCCAAAAGACTACCCTGGCCATGGCATGGATGATGACGTTGGTGATGGTGATGGTGAGGATGATGGTCACCAGTTCAAGCTCATCTGGGGAGCGAATTCACTTACTCCAACCACAAGGGGTCCCTAGTGTGAGGCTCTTTGCCGTTTACATCCTTTCCGCATTGAATAGAAAGAAGTCCAGCAGACCAATGATGAAGAGCATGGGCCAAGACCCAGGCCGTGTGGTTTGAATCCAGTTCCATTCCTTACCAGCTCTGTTTGTGACCTGGCGCGAGCCACATCACACCCCCATGCCCTACTTTCCAAATCCGTAAAATGTAGATGATGTTAAGGACAGCAGCCCCAGCTTCAGAGAGGATGGTAAGATTAGCCCTGCCTCATGCCGATGTCGCACAGGTTAAGTGGGCTAATGTGTGGACGGCGCTCCAGGAGTGATGATTAAAGGCAGCAACGGACATTCCATCACGACACTGGTGGCCGGTGCATGGCAGAGGGGTAAGACCTTCCTCCGAGATAGACATACTTGAGGTGTTACGATCAATTCTTTTTTTTTTTTTTTTAATTCTTTTAGTGTTTATTTTTGAGAGAGAGAAAGAGAGCATAAGCAGGGGAAGGGCAGAGAGAGAGGGAAACAGAGAATCCGATGCAGGCTCCAGGTTCTGAGCTGTCAGCACAAAGCCCAATGCGGAGCTCGAACCCAAGAACCATGAGATCATGACCTGAGCTGAAGCAGGATGCCCAATCAAGGGAGCCACCCGGATGCCCCAACTAAAACGTATTTCAGAAAATGACTCATCCCAATCCCCTTACATTCTATGACCTTTGGCCCAGGCACAATCTCCAACCATATTCATGATTGATGGGCAGTTCTCCAATTCTCAGAATGGAGTAAAAGAGCATGGACCCCTTTAATTCAGAACCCGAATGTGCCATTCCAAGCTTGTCCTTGGACACTCCCCCCACCCGCCGCCTCCCGAGATAAGCGGGTCCCACCCCTGGCGTGAGGTCTGGTATGGAACTCAGGGCAGGACAGGACAGGCTTGGTTGTCCCTCGAGCCCTGAGCCTGTGGCTTCCGTGGTTCTCCAGAGACCAGAGGGCAACCTGGGCCACTAAACCTCAAAGGTCAACCCTCCCCTCCACCCCCACAGGAGTTTCAGAACGAGTGTCTTGTTTTTATAGCCCAACTGTGTGTCAAGGGAGACAACCTGCCATTTGATTTTATCACTCAGTCGCCATATTCTCCTGAGATTTGCCTACTCCGCATTTCACTTGCTGGGCATTTCTTGTAGATAGAGATAAGCCCCCAGGCAAAGTCAGGTGAGGATTCTTGTCCTTTTCCAGGAGGGTGCATGACTACACCACCCCCAAACACACACACACACACACACACACACACACACCCTCAAACCTGCTACACACACCCCAGAAACACACACTGGCAACAATCAAAGCCCAAGAGCATGCAAGGCTCACAGCTCCGAGCCCAGGAAAGTGAAACCTGTCCTTCACCATCAACTTTTTCTAACTTTCCACCCACAGAGAGGCGGGTGGACTGGCCAAGTCAGCTGGGAGTACAGCCAGGTGGAAGGTGGGCAAGCCGGCCCGGCACACCGGTGCCATTTGCACACGCAGGGCTGGGGCTGCGTGGAGGGCCAAACATCTCTCTGATCCCTGGAGGAATGTTTAATCTAGAGGGAGAGATAAAGTAAGTACACAGGGCGTCACAAAAGCACACGGAAAATGCACGCCGCGAGATAAGCTCGGCCGGGTGCGTGGGCCCTGCGCACCCAGGTGAGGAGATCCTTTGGTTGTGGTGGGGCAGGGGTTTGTGTGTGACTTTGGACATCTGGCCTGGGTCCCGAGGAGCAGGAGAGAATGTGACAGGCAGAGAAGGCTCTTGGGGAGAGCCACAGGGAAGGACTGCAGAAAGGAAAAAAGAAAATGAAAGAATATTCCGGAAAGAGCGAGCAAGCACATGTGAGTGGGTCAGGGGTGTTCGTTGGAGGACGTCAGGGGCAAGATGAGGATTCCAACACCTGGAAAGCAAGGAGGAGGCTTCGCTGACTTCAGGGACTGGAGAGGGATGTGGCCGGGCTCTGTTCAGTGATAGCAGGTGCAGGCAGGTGGGAGAGAGGCGCGGGGGCAGGGAGACCGCTCAGGAAGCTCGGCGGGCAGGTAGTAAGACGCGGGCAGGAGGTTAGGGCCACGGAAAGCGAAGGAGACACAGACAGCATGAGTGGGACCAGACAGACCCAGCGGACGGCCTGTCCTAGTGTCCTGCAGCCCAATGGCGACATCAAAGCGCTCGGAGAGCCCTGCCATGCCTGTGAGGACGGAGGTCAGGGGAGGGCACAGATTTGCTTCCAAGGGTGCGTTTTCCTTCGCATGGGCGGAGTCTGAGAGGCAAATGGTACACGGGATGTTCCACGGCCCAGCTGGCGCGGAACGTGCAGATTTTAGAGTCAGAAGGAAGATCGGGGCAGGAGGACGGAGTGAAGGGTTGGAGACGCGAGTGTGGATGAGATTGTACAGGGTGAGGAGGTAGACAGAGAGGGAAGAAAACGGTGTGGGGGAGCGGGGAATCGAAGGAAGGGAGGAGGAGGGGGAACCCTAAGTTTCTCTGCACGAGATCCCATTCATAAGTTGCCGTGTCTGACATAATGGAACTCACGAGGGGCGGTGGCAGGCTGTGAAACCAAGCGTACCCGCCCGTAAGGTCCACAACCTCTGCACCAGGCCTGGGATGGCCACATCCGGCCCGGGGGGCCAAATGTGGCCCTTCTCCCGTTTTGTACGTCGCGTTTCACTGCGACGCAGCCACTCACTCACGCGTGTGCTGTCTAAGGTGCTTTATGTGGTAACGCCAGAGCTCCGTGATCGCAGCAAAGGCCGTATGGCCGCATGATGCCTCCGATATCTTCTATCTGGCCTCTTACTGCATAGTCTGCTGGCCTCTGGCCTGGCCGTCGTTACTTCCACGGGAGCCAAAGCCAGAACCTTGAGCCGGGCTTGCTTTTGGGGAGTTGGGGGAGGGCAGGCAGGTTGGGAAGCCCACGGAGAGGTCCCCGGCGGTAATAAGGGAGCGACCCCCTGCAGGTGACAAAGAGGATGAAGGAGGGCATGGTGTCAAGATGGGGGACTGACCGTCGAAGGCCTCAGAGCCGTCAACAAGGCTGTAGTGGCCTGAGGAAAGTGGACTGCGCTGGGCCGTGAGCCTTTGTCCTTAGATGGTGGGGACAAAATGGG